GGCAGAGGAAATTCTCTTGGGGAGATCAACTCAAGAAGACACTCTGTCTCCCAGGGACATCCACATTGCTTTTATCTTTCCCTCTAGTTGTATAACAACTTGCAGTTGTTTGGATAAACAAGGTAAGAAACAAGGATCCAACACTTAGTTCTCAGGGCTGCGAGCAGGCAAGGCTTTTGACACTTAGTTCTCTGGGCTCTGAGAGCAAGCCAGGCTTTTACCATAAATCCTGGACTAAGTCCTCAGGCCAGTTCAGCTTGTCCTTCCCCGTGGCCGGGGGGGGGGGGGGGGGGGGGGGAGGGGGTCATAACAGCTTGCATCAAGACCATGCATTTATGCTTTCTAGAATGTCCCATTTCTATGCCACTCGCCCTAGGTCCATCCCAGTCCCACGGCGGGACCTCCCTTCTGGGGTGTTAGGAACTACAGCAACTGAAGCCTTTATCAAGTAATTATGCCCAGGAGCAGATATATTTCAGAGTCAGTCAACTCCCAAATATTAGGAGCATAGCACTAATGGTCTTTCTGTGTTTAACCAAAGAACATTGCTCTAGAGTAAAATATAAAAAGGTTATAGGGAAAATAGACTCAGAGACTATAAAAACCAGCTCCCGGAAGAGAACAGTGCAGTCTCCTGCCCCCATGCCTGGCTGTCCTCGCCGGGCCCCTTGGAGGGGAGCGGGTTGAGCTTTCCTCCCCGCCCCGACCAGGGCTCCGGCAGCCGAAGACCTCCAGGACCAGCCACCACCATGCTGAGACCACTCTCCGCACACATGAAGGTACCGGCAGAAGGACAAAGCCACGTGGGTTCCAGGGCCAAGATCTCCAAGCCTACTCGGATTTGGGCCGAGCATCCTCCACCCAGATCCTCCAAATTCCAGTAGGCGGGGGTCACACCCACCAACTGGCCCCCTGGCGCCGTGTAATCCCATCAACGGCCAAGACTCAGAGGCTATAAAAAACCAGCTCCCGGAAGAGAAGAGCGCAGTCTCCTGCCCCCACACCTGACTGCCCTCGCTCGCCAGGACTCCTTGGAGGGGAGCGGATTGAGCTTTCCTCCCCGCCCCGACCAGGGCTCCGGCAGCCAAAGACCTCCAGGACCAGCCACCACCATGCTGAGACCACTCTCCGCACACATGAAGGTACTGGCAGAGGGACAAAGTCACGCGGGTGCTGGGGCCGAGATCTCCAAGCCTACTCGGATTTGGGCTGAGCATCCTCCACCCAGATCCTCCAAATCCCAGTAGGCCGGGGTCACACCCACCAACTGGCCCCCTGGCGCCGTGTAATCCCATCAGCGGCCAAGACTCAGAGACTATAAAAACCAGCTCCCGGAACCGTGCGGCCGATGTGGCCGCACGACATCTTATTATGACATCTCATTATCTCATTCCTACTTTGGACAAACTGGCAGGCTACCAAATGTAGCCTGCCCACACGGCAGAGTCTGGCAAACTCCCCGTTGCATACCCAATATGTCAAATACCAGTAACAATGATGGGTCTCATTCTCCTAAAGAGCCTTGAATATAATCTCAGGGCTAGGATGAAGTAGACATTACTGGGGCCTGCTCGAGGCAATTGACGAATAACAGGATGATTTGTGATTTGTGATTGTGATAGGGAAAATAGAAAAGCAGGTATAAACATACAGCACTTCAAATACACAGCAGTACAAATACAAAGTTCAGAATTACCAGAAAGTTTTGGCTTATAAGTAATCAAGACTGACTTGGGGAACTGTGACATTGAGAGGTACAATACAAGGGAAAGATTAAGGATAAACTTAAACCAAATTAGGGATGCTAGCAAGAGCAGGTTAAGCCTCCGTGGGAGGAAGAACGGGGCAATTCACCGATGAAGCCTAAAGCGCTTCGGGTTAATATCCAACACAAAGAAAAGGTTGACGATAGAATTTAACCAAATCAGGGATATTGGTGAGGACATGGTCAGCTTCTCTGGGCGGAGGAAATGGGCAGTTCACCAGTGAAGCCTAAAACACTTAGGGTTGATATCCAACACTCAGGTGCAGAGCCCAAGTCTCAGGGCTCTAAATATTCATAGAAATGGATTGTTGGGGGCTGGTGGTTAGGACCCCAGATCTATATGGTGAACTCTGGGGAAGCCAGAACCAGAAGACAAACTCCCACTTCCTGCCCGGCTTGTGCAGGCTGTTCCCCAGAGCTGCCCTCTCCCCCCTGGTCCCTGCACCCCTCACAGAGGCTCAGGAGCGTGGGGGATGGTGACCCATGCCCCACTGACTGCAGAACTAAGGGTGCCCTCCCTCTAGGCTGGCCATGTGTGGGGAAAGTGATGTGTCAGTTGTCAACGCCCAGAGACACTCCTGGCTGTTACCGTGGTAACCACCCAGAATCTCTGCCCCTGGTTCTCCGGATACCAAGTTAGGCTGGCATTTAATGTAATAGCACTGTTACCTTTCCATCGTGAAAACAAGATGCATTATGCATGTGGCCAGCTCACAGAACTGCATCCCCTCAATGTGTGCATTTTTATAGAGCTACAAATTATACCTCAATTAAACGGTTATAGACACACATTTGTTACGGAAAAATAGCAAAATATAAACCTGCCGCATCCAGCCCTGGGCAGCCTCCTGGCATTGGTGGGAATCCGTTCCCACCTGCTGTTTAAGGGGCTGCGCAAGGTGGCCGCCGCCTCAGAGCTTCTTGGAAAGCCAGGTATGAGCCGGCGGTGACAGGGCAACTGCAGCCTCATGGGAAGGGGGACAGTACCGGCTCGTCCTTCACGCCCTACCAAGGTCACGAGTTGCCCCTCATGTGTGGCTCTCCGGCACGGCCATGGCTCTAGAGACAAAAGGACTTAATCCAGAGTCCGGTAGCTTGCAGCAGAAAAGTGAATGGACCATGCGTTAAGCTATGGCCATAACACCAGATGCACAGAAACCAATCTCGTAATTATCTGGCTCTTTGCAGAAATCCAAAATCACGGCCGCATGACATTATATGATTCTCATAACCAGCTATAGAAAACAAAGTATTTCACAATGCCTTTTCAGCAATTCTGATTGTTGGGAGGGAAATTCTAAACAATAATGGTGCATCTTTTGTCGAAATAATGTAATCAATGTAGAGAAGAGTTAAGTAGAAATCATCTGCCTCACAGGCATTGGGAGGGGTGGGAGGGGGGCGTATATTGGGGTTCTTGGTGGTGAAAATGAGTACTGGTGAAGGGAAAGGTGTTTGATCATTGTATGACCGAGACTTAAACCTGAAAGCTTAGTAACTTTTCCCACAGTGATTCAATAAATAAATATAAGAAGAAAAAAATAAAGTTATGAAAAAAATAAGGGGCTGAGATCCCTGGGCTGGGTCACTAAGGACCCTGCGAGTACTGCCTCCCACTGGCCTCGGTCCTGCTCTGTGATGGCCCCAGCGGGCCCCAGGACTGACCATGTGGGCAGTGGGGCTGGCCGCATGCCTGCTCAAAGCTACGTGCTTGTCTCCTGAGGTTCAGTGGGCCGTGCTTCTGTCTGTCTGGAGGAGTTTGTCCACCCCGCCACCCTCTGTCTTTCTCCTCTTGGGCCGCCTGAGCTGGCATTCGAGTGCGGCCTGGAAGGTGCCGCGGGAGGCGGCTGCAGAGGGAAAGCGGCAAGAAGGGGAATCAGGGACGGGTGGAGGCAAAGGAAGCAGGTGCTCTGGACATCCCGCGGGGCCTCATGCCTGCAGCCGGGCAGAGAAGGGGGCACTTCCTCTGAGTGCAGGAAGCTTGTGCACCCCTAACAAGATACATGGGTCACCAGGTGTCTGTGGTTCCACTATGCAGGGGTGACTGGGCTTGAGGACAGGCCGGTGCCGGTGGCTCTGCTGTGTGTGGTCCCCATGGATGGGCGCTGTGGGGCTAGCCAGTGCTGGGGGAGGCAGTGCTGAGGGGCTAGCCTTGGCCTTGGGCAGGTGCTGAGAGGCTCGCCTGGGTTTGGGAGGACACCGGAGGTCTGGCTAGCCTAGGACCTGGGCAGGTGCTGAGGACTAACCTGGGCCTGGAAGGGTACTGAGAGAATAGGCTATGTTTGGGAGGACACCAGTGGGCTAGCCTGTGCTTGGGAGGACACTGAGGGGTTAGCCTGGGCCTTGAAGGATGCCGAGCGGCTAATCTGGGCTCCAGGTAGGCACTGATGGCTAGCCTGGGCTTAGAGGGTACAGAGGGGTCCCTGAAGGGACCCATTGATGAGTCTTTTGTGCAGAGTAGAGGTGCAGGATCGCAGCTGGGTGGGGGTGCGGGGTGGGGGCTCTCTGCCTGCCCTGGGACCAAAGCAGACACATGGCCATGGCCTGGAATGTGCGTGTGGGGAAGGGGGTGTGCAGGGTCCGAGTGTTGGGGAGGGGTGGTCTCTGCATGCTGGTGCAGGGTGGGGCCTGGAGGTGCCTGCCTGGACACTGCAGGTCACTGCAGTCGGGAGACACTGCTTTATCCCATCTGGGCAAGAGGCCAGGGACCCTGGGGTAACGCCCGCAGAGGGTGAAGCCCGCAGGGGAGGAACTGGAGACGCACCGGGTTCAGTTTGGGGGCCATGGTGGGCTTTGAGAAGAGACACCCCAGGACTCAGGAGGTGGAACCTCACGGGTCAGCCAGTGCAATGCCCCCACCCAGGTCTCCATCAGCAAAGCAAGATTCCAGCTCCCAGGGCACCCAGGGTCCAGCCGGGAATGTGAAGAATGCTGGGGTACCCGATAGCTCTAGAGGGGTGGTGGGGGACAGATGCGCTTCGTAGCCCCGAGATAGGCCTGTGCCCAACATCCCCGGTGATCAAGGAGGACCCCCCAGACTCAGGGAGGGGGAAAGCTGGGGAGAGTGGGGCATGCCCGGGAGTCAGGGCTCTGCCAGCCAGCAGGGTGGGGAGCAGGACACCCGAGTCAGGGACTGTCCACTGTGACGCGGTGGGAGTGGGGGGCTGGGGTGGGGCAGTTCTGCCAAACTTGCGGGCCCGGCACCAATGCACTCACCTTCCTTCCCTCCCTGCAGCCGATATCATCTCTACCGTGGAGTTCAACCACACCGGCGAGCTGCTGGCCACTGGCGACAAGGGTGGTCGCGTGGTCATCTTCCAGCGGGAACCAGAGGTGAGGGCGGGGCTTCACTCTGTCAGACCTATAACAGGGCAGGGAAGGAAACTGAGCAGAGGGCGGGGCCTCACACGCCTTTAACTTGCTGGACAGCCTCCCTCAGGCTTTTGATGGGGCGTGGATGAAATTGATCCCGCTGGGATCCTCTCCTGGGTGCTGGGCAAGGTGTGTCTTGGAATACTGGGCCCAGGAGTCCAGCAGGTCCTCTCGAAGTCACATCCAAGCCCCCTCCCTTAGTGATCTTTTAGATCATTTACTGTGTCCCAGCAGGACAGGCGTGGTCACTGTGGCAGAGTGAACAGAGAGGGCATTGTCCTCACTAGCGCTTGAAGGAAAAGGCCCGAGGCTGCAGCCATGAGGCCATTGCCCAGCACCCCCCAGGCATGACCGACCCGGTGTTCCGCTTGCCTGGGGCAGGTTCTAGCTGCTTGGAGGAGCTGGTGACACAGAGGCCTGTTCCCTGAGCACCTGTGCCTCTGCTCTCTGCCAGCGGCCCCGCTCAGGCCTCTACAGATGAGGGCTTGGTCACTTCCACAGTCCTGCCTGTGAGAGCAGATGCAGGCCAGGTCATTCTGCCATCAGTGTCCGAGCTCCTGAGGCCCTCAGTGACCTCCCCCATGCCACCCCAGAGCCCTCCCTTGCAACAATCCCTAGGAGCAGTCAGAGTTGGTTGTCGTCTCTTGTATGAACGAGGGACCGTGGGGAGGGATGGGAATCGGCCTTCCGGGACGTGTCTCTGAGACTGGACAGGCCGGAGCCTTTGCTTTCGTGAGAAGCCGCAGATTGTTGGGCTGGGCGTGCAGAGCCGCGCCTGTCTGCCCTGTGGGCCAAACCGCCGCTGACCAGTGGCCCCTTTTGTAGATTCTGTTGGTTTTTTTTTTTTCTTGAATCTGGGTGGCACTGACCTTGGTCCTGGCAGTGATCCTGGGCAGTCAGTGAATTAGAACCAGGGTTTCCGACTGTCTGTCTGCAGACCTGTGCCACCTCAGGTGTTAAAACAATCGAAAACAACTATCTGAGGGGAAAGGAATTTGGAAGCTTCCAGAAGCCAAACAGGACTAGAGATGGGAAAGCTGGGAAGATTGACTTTGGGAAACTGCAAGTTGTGCTTGGAAATTGTGTCTCCAGTCTGCTCCCATCCTCAGGGAGACCTGCATGACTCCCCAAGCATATGGCTTCTGGTGCCCAGCAGGGACTCACCCTCTCTCTGTTTGGGGAGCACCACCTAGAGGCTCCTTACCAGAAAGTGGGGCATCCTGCATCACAGGAAATTCTGCCCTTATCAAACCCACCCCAGACCTGCGTGAGACAGACATGTGTGGACAGGGGGAGAAAAGCCGGAGCAGGCCTTGGTGGCCCACAGGCCTCAGCAGAGCGAGACAAGCCAAGGGGGACGTCTGTCCCAGGAAATTGCTGCCCTCTGGGCCTCGGCTTGCTCATTTGTAAAGTGGGGAGAGCTAGGGTACCCCCAGAGGACCTCCCAGGATGGACGGGAGATGAGGCATGAGGAGCACTTGTCTCAGAGTCCAGCATGGAGTAGGTGCTCAGTAAGCGTAATGCAGCCTGGCTGCAGATGCTCCTGTTGTTGGACTGAGGAGGTGAGCTTCGCCGTGGCCGCACACGAAGTCTCTGAGAACGGAGGGTGGCAAGATTGGGGTCTTCACAGGTCAAACCCAGCCCTGAGTCTGCACCCACCTGCCTGCCGGAGCTCACACCCCGCTGTCTCCGTGCAGAGCAAACACGCACCTCATAGCCACGGCGAGTATGACGTCTACAGCACGTTCCAGAGCCACGAGCCTGAGTTCGACTATCTCAAGAGCCTGGAGATCGAAGAGAAGATCAACAAGATCAAATGGCTCCCGCAGCAGAACGCGGCCCACTCCCTGCTGTCCACCAACGGTAAGGGCTGGCCTGCCTGCTGCCCGCTGCCCAGGTGTCCGTCCTGTTTGTGTTCACGTGTCTGCCACGTGTGCCCGGGTGTCTGCTCTTGCAGGGTCTATGTGAGCACCTGTGTTAGTTTTCCCAGGTGTGTGCAACTGCAAATGTGTGCACGGGTGGACATGTGTGTGCTCAGGTATGTATGTGGCTCTGCATGGGTGGGCATGTGTGAGCCATGTGCTGTCAGTCAGCTTCAGGGGCAGGACTCCCAGGTCTTGGCTGAGGGCTTGAAGGCTCTGTGCTCCAAGCTGCACTGCAGGGTCAGATCCTGGCCGCTGAGTGCACGTATGCGGTCTGTGCAGGCACAGGTGTGTCTGTGTGTGTGCACGCGTGCTGTCTGCGCATGCACACGCACGGTGTGGGTGCCCGTGTGCCTGCTGTCTCAGGAGTGTGCATCTGCACATGTGTGCACAGTCCTATGTGCCAATTCTAACATAAGCCAATCCTGTGTACCAATTTTAGGTCCTGTTTATCACAAAGTCAGATTTTTAATTAGAAAAGGCTCCCAAATGTGAATAACGCCATGTCCTGTGGGTAGCTTCCCCTTTTCTTAGGGAGGAACCCCCGTTTTTTCCCTTCAGTCCTTCTCCTTGTCAGACACGGCCCACCTCCAGTGAAGGGCAGTCGCTTTCCTTAGCCATTCAATGGCCTCATCTGAAAGACACCTTCCCAGCGTCCTCCATTGCTGGACAGATATCTGGGCCCCTGGTGTCGCCAGCCTGTAAAATGAACCATCACAGCTATTAACGGGTCTGGCCAGGGTTCCAGGGACGTGAGGTCGGTGCACCACTGGACCGGAGTTCGGGGAGAGGCAGAAGCTCAGATTGGCCCCTGAGTGTCGAGCCCCTGAAGGGCTCTGAAGCAGGAGGTTCCCTGGCCACGGTCTTTCGGACACCAGCTCCTAGAGGGCTGACAAGGACCCTGAGGGGGCTCATACCCTTTGACCTGGCACTTTCACCTTTGGGGTCACTAGGGGGGATCTTGGGCGTGAGGACAAGGTTCCTGTGTAGAATGCCCCTGACCGCAGTGCACACACCCAAATGGGAGTGTGCTGAGGTCCGGGAGACGGGGCCAGGGAGCCTGTCCCGGGTGGTCTGTGATGTGAGTGCCCCTTCTGTCTCCAAAGACAAAACCATCAAACTCTGGAAGATCACCGAGCGGGACAAGAGGCCCGAGGGTTATAACCTGAAGGACGAGGAAGGAAAGCTGAAGGACCTGTCCACGGTGACATCACTGCAGGTGGGCGGGCACACAGCAGCTTGGGGACGAACTCCCCAGATCTGTGCTCGAGGACGTCAGGGCCTGGAGGCTCTCCGAACAGCACTGAGACCCAGGCCAGGCTGTGGGGGCCCGCCCATGCCTTGCTCTCCTCTCCGGGAAAGCCAGGGGCGGGGGTGCGGGGAGGAGAGCCAGCCAGCTGAGGGTGGCCACGTCCCAGGAGCCCTCTCCTGCCCAGGGGGAGCTGGAGGCCTGGAGGAGGCGATGCCCCCAGAGCTGCAGGCCCAGAGGAGCCTGGTGGCCATCACGCAGAGCCCCTTGCCAGGGCAGAGGGGAGTGGGAGCCCCGACTCTGGCAGCCTTGACTGGTTCTTGGCGGGTGGGTTCCGTGACTGGAAGGCTCTGGCTGAGCTGTGCCTGGGAGATGAACGGGACGACGAAGTGCTGCGGCCCCAGGCCATTTCCGGCCGGGGGAGCTGGGCCAACAAGCCCGAGAGGGCCCCGGGTCATCGTCCCTTGGAGCCATGGTGAGGTTCCTGTCCCCCCTCCCCATCGGTGAGACTGCAGGGGGCCGGAGGCTGTCCCGGGCCTTTCCCTGGGAAGAGCAGATGGTCCGGGGCCCCTGGGCTTGGGTGCTCCAGCGGCTCCGCTTTGTCCTCCTCCTGTGGCCCCTGGCATGAGCTGCGGGCAGGCGGGCGGGCTCTCAGGGACAGGCAGGGCTGGCAGGAGTGGAGGCCGATGCCAGGTAGGACTGGGCGGAGTCAGGCCTTCCACCCCATTGGAGGCGGCTGGTGGGGCTGGGTCTCCCCAGCTCGCCTCACTCTCCTCAGCAAGAGGAGGGGACGGGCCACTTCCTCCGAACGGACTCGGCGGTGGATCCTGCTGCCCCTCCCCTCCTCAAGGGACCCCCGAGCAGTGAGGGAGCTGAAGAGCAGCGCAGTCCAGGGACGTCCCCGGCACAGTTCCCGGCTCAGCGCTCAGTGGGAACCGCAGTTGGAGAAGACGGGAAAGGGCCCGGAGTCCCCCAGCAGGCGCCCTGGCCCGGTGCCCTCTCCTACCGCCCCTGCCCCTGACCAGTCCTGCCGCCCGCAGGTGCCCGTGCTGAAGCCCATGGACCTGATGGTGGAGGTGAGCCCCCGGAGGGTCTTCGCCAATGGCCACACCTACCACATCAACTCCATCTCCGTCAACAGCGACTGCGAGACCTACATGTCGGCTGACGACCTGCGCATCAACCTGTGGCACCTGGGGGTCACGGACCGCAGCTTCAGTACCCTGGGCCCCGGGGCCGGAGGGGAGGGGCTGGGGCAGGGAAGGCGGGAGGGGGCCAGAAGGGGAGGGAGGGGAGGGCCTGAGGTGGGCACCAGGGGGGCAGGGCGGGCGCAGGGGCCGGGAGAGGTCCTGCTCGGAAGGGTGCTGGCCAGATGCCCTCCGCGTGAGCCCCTCTGCTCCCCGGTATGAAATCCGGGAGGTCTGCTCTGGAGCGTGGGTCTATTCAGCCCCTCACCTCTCTTTGCAGGGTGACCCCATCCCTGTCATCCTGAGGCCTCGCCAGGGCCTGGATGGGAGAGGGGGTCCTGGGAGCAGTCCTCATGGGGAAGGGAGGACTCATCTCCCCAAATCCGGACCCCCACCCTAAGGCCAGCAAGGGGGCAGCTTTGCTTTTGGCCAGGCCAGGGTTGAATGACACAGGGTGTCAGGGGTGTCGAAGCTCAGCTGGCCCCTCTCCTCTCCTCTCCTCTCCTCTCCTCTCCTCTCCTCTCCTCTCCTCTCCTCTCCTCTCCTCTCTTCTCCTCTCCTCTCCCCTCCTTCCCCTCCCCTCCCCTCCTTCCCCTCCTCTCCTTTCCTCTCCTCTCCCTTCCTCCCTCCCTCCCTCCCTCCCTCCCTCCCTCCTTCTCGTAGGTTCCATCCCCAGCACCACATAGGAAACCCTGTGCTCCACCAGGAATGATCCCTGAGCATTGCTGTGTCGCCCAAAAACACCTCACATACACATATGCATGCAAAAACACAAACATATGGAAAACACACAAACACACATGCAGGCACACATATGCACACACAGCACACATGCAAACAAACACACACGCACACATACATACACACACACAGAGGCACTCACAAAGCAGCTTTGCTGGCTGTACCCGAGACGGCCCCTGTGCAGGAGGGCTGGGCTCTGTTCTCCCAGCACCCCTGGGGAGCTCTGCGAGGCCCTTATGGCATGGCCCTGGGCACAGCCGCCTCCATCCTGGGGAGGGGGCTACATAGTTGCCCGCCAAGCGCCTGGAGACTTCCTGGACCAGCCAGGCACTGCTCTGCTCTGTGGATCGAGCCCGAGGCCACATCCTTCCCTCTGACCCCTGTCCAGTCTCAGTGTCCCTCTGCTGGACACAGCCAGAGCCCCTGCCTAGGGGTACAGCATGGGGTGCCTGCCAGCACAGCCAGTCCTGCCCTCCGCAGCTCTCATGGCCTGATCACGCTTGACTCTGGCTCTGAGGGGTTTTTTAATTTTTTTTAATTTTTATTTATTGAATCACTGTGAGAAAGGTTACAAAGCTTTCAGGTTTAAGTCTCGGTCATGCAATCATCAAACACATTTCCCTTCACCAGTACTTATTTTTCATCACCAAGAATCCCAATATACACCCCTCCCACCCCTCCCAATGCCTGTGAGGCAGATGAATGAATTCTAGTTAACACTCTATCTACTTTGACTCGATTCATTGTTTCGACAAAAGATGCACCATTACTATTTAGAGTTTACACCCCAAAATCAGACCTGCTGAAAAGGCATTGTGAAATAATTTGTTTTCCACAGCCGGTTACAAGAGCCAAATGATGTATTGCGGCCGTGCAATTTTGGATTTCTGTTATTTTACTTTTTCAGCCTGGAAGTATTTCTGCCGAGAGTCAGATAATTATGAGATTGGTTTCTGTGGCTCTGGAGCCATGGCCGTGCCGGAGAGCCGCTCGTGGGGGGCAACTCGTGACCTCAGTAGGGCGGGAAGGACGAGCCGGGAATGTCCCCCTTCCCATGGCGTTTCAGGTTTCAGTCACCCCGTCAGGACCAGCTCATACCTGGCTTTCCCGAGCTCCGAGGCGGCTGCTGTCTTGCTTCCCAGAGGGCACGTGGTGTGGATTAACGCATAATCCATTCACTTTTCTGCCGCAAGCTGCGGGGCTCTGCATTAAGTCCTTGTGCTTCTGGAGCCATGGCCGTGCTGGAGAGCCGCTCGTGGGGGGCTGGCTCTGAGCTTTGGTTGCTGATGTGTCTCTATGGCGTCACTTGTCCTTGTCTTTGTTTCTTGTTTGTTTGGTTGGTTGTTATTATTATTATTATTATTATTATTATTATTTGCTTTTTGGGTCACATCTGGCGATGCTCAGGGGTTACTCCTGGCTCTCCACGCAGGAATTCTTCCTGGCGGTATTCAGGTATGGGATGCAGGAGATTGGATCAAGGTTGGCGCATGACAGGCAAGAGCCCTACCCTCTGTACCACCGCTCTGGCCCCATCACTTGTCCCAGTCGAGGCTTGGTCACGAAAACTGATGGCAACACGACTACTGTGTGCTGCCCCGCGGGGTTCACCCCAGGCTCATCCCACGTTCCTGACCTGGCCTGTGCTCAGCAACCTCTCCCCTTCCTCCTCCTGCCCTCCTCCTCTTCTCCTCCTCTTCCTCCTTCTCCACCCGCTTTTCCTCCTGCTCCCTCTCCTCCACCTCCTCCTCCTCCACCTCCTCCTTCCCCATCTCCTCTTCCTCCTCCTGCTCCTCCTCCTCCTTCTGGACCTCTGCCATAGTCCTGTGGAGGTCGTTAGTGATGGCCCCAGGATGGATTACCAGCCTCACCAAGCTCTGGGCTCTTAACCTTTGGTCTCATTTTCATTAGTTGATCTCTGCTTTGCTGCGGCAGAGAAGCCAGTTTCCAGAGGACCGGCTGGGGCCTTGCTGCCTTCCTAGCTCTCCTGCACTCCCGAGGAGCCTCCAGCAAGTGAGCCCAGCATTGGCAGGCACAGACCCCGTCCACCCTGCAGCTCGGGCTACTCTGGTGCTTACAGGGAGATTTCCTTGACAAGCTACACAATACTGCCCCCTCAATGGAACATGGACTGTTTCCGTGTCGAGCAGGCTAGAGAGCACAGCTTCAGGTGCAGCTTGATCCAGGATTCAAAAGGTTTCGCCTGGGGCTGGAGTGATAGTACAGTGGGTAGGGTGTTTGCCTTTCACGAGGCCAACTCAGGTTCGAATCCCAGCATCCCAAATGGTCTCCTGAGCACCGCCAGGAGTAATTCCTGAGTGCAAAGCCAGGAGTGGCCCCTATGCATTGCCGGGTGTGACCCAAAATGCAAAAAAAAAAAAGTTTTGCTAGACCTTTCCATGGGCTGGTTGGGGCACTCTCTGCTGGCCCTCAACACCAGGGTCTTCCCTCTTCTCTCCAGCAGCCCCACAGAGATGATGGAGCAGCTCCCAGTGTTCCGGGTGCTGGGGGTCCCTCCACAGGCACTGCTCAGGCTGTATGCATGCTGGCCCCCCACCCGCCCCACGGTCACCACCCAGGTGACTCAACAGGCAGAGCGGGGAGACACAGAGAGGAATGAAAACCCAGAAATGCAGAGATCCTTTCCCCCAGAAGAGCTCGGGAGGCGGTGGGCAGGGGGGAAGCGGCAGATGCCCTTGCACATGGGTCAGAGGGACCCCAAGAGCTGACTTTTCTCCCCAGGAGTACCACAACAGCTGGTGTTGGGGTGGGTGCGAGGTGGCACACGCCGGGGCCAGGAGGAGGCGCAGATCAGAAGGGGGCAGCCGGTCCAGTGGGGGCTGCAGCTGAGGGGTTCCATGGGGCGCGGAGAGGGGCGCAGACGCAGGGCAGAGGACACGCCAGCAGTGGGGAATCCGGAGACCCCTGGGACGGCCTCCCTCCCCTGCACACGCTTCCTTGACCGCCCGCCCAGACATCGTGGACATCAAGCCGGCCAACATGGAGGAACTGACCGAGGTGATCACGGCAGCCGAGTTCCACCCACTCCACTGCAACCTGTTTGTGTACAGCAGCAGCAAGGGCTCCCTGCGCCTCTGCGACATGCGCGCGGCGGCCCTGTGCGACAAGCACTCCAAGCGTAAGGACCTCGCGGGGGAGGGGGGGCGGGGCGTCTGGGGCGGGGCCTTGAGGCCGGGGGCGGGGCCTGGAGTGGCAGGTGGGCGTGGCTAGGGAGGTGGGCGTGGCTAGGGGAGGTGGGCGTGGCTAGGGGAGGTGGGCGTGGCCTTGTTGGTGGGTGTGGCCTGGGGGTGACTGGAGAGCTGGTGCAGCGTGGCCTGTTTGTGGTGGGCGTGGCTTGTGCTTCCAGGAGAGTTTCCGGGCGTGGCCATGACAGAAGAGATGTGGGCGTGGCCTGTCGTGGTGGGCGTGGCTTTGCATGGTGAAAGTGCTGTGGGCGTGGCCTATCGCGGTGGGCGTGGTTTGTGCCTACTGGAGCGGTTCAGTGTGGCCTGGAGAGTGAATGAGTGGTGCTGCGGGGTTGGGTCTCACACCCACCAGCCCACCCCAAGTGCCAGTACGGTCAGAGCTGTCCTGCTTACAGTGGTCTAGGGTGAGGATCTGAGAGTGAGCTGAGATCAGGAAACTGAAGCCATAGTGCAGCTGTAACCTCCTCCAGGAAGCCTTCCCTGGCCTCCACAATGGACCAGGCCACTCCTCTGCCCCTCGAGCCCCAGCGCTTCTCTCTCACAGGCCCGAATCCTGTGACCTCTCTGTGGAATGTCACCTGCCCTGCAGAAGCCTGTGAGCAGCACCTCAAGGCCCCTCGTCCGGAAACCCACTCCAGTGACAGGCTTGGGTGCCCGGGGACTGGACAGCAGCCACCTCCCCATGCAGCCACACTCACTGGACTCAGGGGGCCGGACTCGGGCCCATGGCTCCTGCTGAGAGATTTTTGCCCGAGTGTGTGCGAGCTAGTGGGTACTGGGGCTCTTGCCCAGGGAGCGTGGCTTCTCTCTCTCTCTCCGGAACAGTCATGTTCTGTGTCTGCTCCCAGAAGTCCGGCAAAACTCATCTATAAAGCTTTTTCGAATTATTGGTTTATTTTAAAAGCAGGTGCTTTATTTGAGTGCTAATGCTTGTAAAGGTAAAGGTAAAGACCCTCCCGTTGATCATTGATTTGCTCGAGCGGGCCCAGTAACGTCTCCATTGGAGACTTTGTTGTTACTGTGTTTGGCATTTCGAATACGCCACGGGGAGCTTGCCAGGCTCTGCCGTGCGGGCGAGATACTCTCGGTAGCTTGCCGGGCTCTCCGAGAGGGGCGGAGGAATTGAACTCGGGTCGGCCATGTTGGCTGCGTGCAAGGCAAACGCCCTACCGCTGTGCTATCGCTCCAGCTTGTAACTTGTTATATTTTTATTTTATTTTGGGCCACACCTGGCCATCATCTGGACTTACTTCTGGCTCCATGCTCAGGGATCACTCACAGCTGTGTACAGGGACTATATGTAGTCCTGGGGATCATAGCAGGATCAGCCGTGTGCAAGACAAGCCCCCATCCTATCTACAGCCTTATATTTTTTATTGGTTTTTGGTAAGATGTTTCTTTTAAGGTGCCAGAGTGATAACGATGCCGGCGGGATCCCCTGTGTGAAGAGGGGAGGAGAAACAGCATTTTTTTTTTGAATAATGTAGGAGTTCTGCCATTTATTCAGCCATTGATTAAGCTAATTGAATTGGGCATGAACTCCACATTATTTTTTTATTTTATTGTGTCACCATGAGATAGAGTTACAAAGCTTTCATGTTTGAGATTCAGCCACACACTGACAAAACACCCATCCCTCCACCAGTGCACATTTTCCACCACCAATTCCCAAGTAACACCCCCTCTCCCCCTCACATACATACACATCGTAGTCCTCAGCCTGCCTCTGTGGCAGACAATTTCCCCAATACTCTCTGTCTAATTTGGGGCATTAATTTTGCTCGAATTTTCCCACCAACATTCAAGCCTACCTGCCAGGGACAGACACTAGGTAATATATTTTCCATAGCTCATTTCGAATATCATGAGAGCTCACGTGGCCACAATTGTAAATGTAAATTTCTAGACTGTAAATTGTTGGGTTCCAGAGACATCTCTGTGTGGCACTCATCCATTTGGGGTTCAGTTGGGAGCCTCTGGGCCAGGGCTGAGGGTGCTCTAAGATGGCATCCGGAGGCAAATTGTGGGCATGACAGCCAGTCTCCCGGGCAGGTGGAGACCCTGGGAGGGACAGCCCAGGTCCTCTGCCACCATGCGGCCTGGAGAGTTAGTCCTGAACCTGCACTGGGCCTTGCTTTGAAAGCTCTTGGTCACCAGGATGCCATCTGGAGTAGGCGGGGAGACCACCTGCTCCATCTGAGGCGCCCCAGTGATATTGGCTCGGTATGGGGCCCGGACAGATCTCCGGTGCTGTGTTGTCATCTGGGACTTGCTACTGTGTCTCTGGGCCAGGGCTGTTGGTGCACTAAGATGGTGCCCAGAGGCTAATTGTGGAGATGACAGCCAGTCTTCTGGGCAGGTGGGGACCCAGGGAGGGACAACCCAGGTCCTCTGCCACCATGCAGCCTGGAGATGTAGTCCTGGAACCCGCAAACCTGGGCCTTGCTTGTAGAAGCTCTTGGTCACCGGGATTCCATCTGGAGTAGGCGGGGAGACTGCACCTGCTCCATCTGGGGTGTCCTGGTGATATTGGCTTGGTATGGGGCCCGGAGAGGTCTCTGGCACTGTGGTGTCTTCCGGGACTTGCTGCTGTGTCTCTGGGCCAGGGCTGTTGGTGCGCTGAGATCCATATTACAAAATTTTCAGCAGATTATATCTTGGTGAGGTCCATTCTGAGACGGTGGAGTCAGGCTTGGGGTATGGCAGCGATTTTGGATTGTGGAAGCAAGTGGCTGCCGGGGACTCTGCTTGGGCGGGCACAGGCCAACCCGCCCCCTCCAGTTTACTCCAGACTGTTCAGCCTTGTATGGGTCTGAGCTTAACTGCGGCTTTTGATCTCCTTCGAGACTTATTTAGGGGTCTCTGAGGCAAGGCCAGTAATAGAGCTTTCAGGGTGACGCTGCGGTTGGTTCATGGGGGTGACTGCCAGTTCTTCCATGTGTATTGGAAAGTGGGGGAGGTAGCCCACCCCAACTCTGAGTGAGCTTGTATAGCTGAGCCGGAGGTGGTTTGTGGGTGTGGCTCCCACATACCTAACTTTTGGCCATTTAATTTCTTAGTAAACTTGTTCCCAAGTTGTTGGTGTCTGGCCAAAGGCACAATGGCAGTTTGGGGGTATCAGGAAGCCTGAAGGCAGCATCAGGCTGCTGATGCACTCGCCCCGCAGGTACAGCTTGACCTGTTGGCAGCACCATACCCCTGAGACAGCATCTTTGCAAGGGGATCTGCCACTTCCTCCTGATTCTCCCCTCCAGTCTGGGAATGGGGGCGGGAGTCTAGGTCTGATGAAGTCTGCAATGACCCCACACACAGCATAGACCTCATGTTCCCCGCTAGGCAGCCGTCATGCTGCACCTGGTGTGAATTTGCTCTCTGCCTGGCAGGGGTATTGATCCCTAGCATCCAATTTCTCCGGGAACCACAGACGCAGGCTGGAGTGAGGAATTGCTCTTTGCAGGAAAGGAAAGTCCTAGGCCTTTCCCAGCCCTGTTGGGTCCTTGCCTTTCTCTCAGAAAAGCATTTCAGGAGGAAATGAGCACTGAAGTAAAAAAAGAGGCTTTATTTTGGGATTTTTCAGGAAGGGGGGGAGAGAGAGAGAGAGAGAGAGACAGAGAGAGAGACAGAGAAACAGAGAGACAGAGAGACAGAGAGAGAGAGTAATGTACTCACGAAAGAGCACAGCTTCTCCAGAGTGGAGCGAGCCCCAGGACACATCCCAGCACTTGAGTATGAAAGTCCACATCGCAGGGGAGACGCGGCGGGCGGCCTGGGCACGGGCACCATAGACCCAGCAACACGTGTGCATGCACTTCCTTTGTTCATGTTGGCTCTTAGAGGGTTTCTCCCAACCCTGTGGGTCTTTCTACTTAGGTACGACTCCGTTGCTAGGGTGGTTGCCAAGGAGAAGAGCTGGGAGCAGTTGATGGTCTTTTTCAGTATTTCTTTGTTCCTGCTGGAGCTTCTGGGGCGGGGTCCAGCCTCCTCTGGTCTGTGCTGGCACCAGTAAAGGTCTTATTAGGCCACAGGTGGATGCTGGCAGCTTTAGGGCTATTGGTTTTATCACTTCCCAAGAACTTACTGCCACTGGGGGCGGGGGTGGGGGAGTGGGTCCCTTTCCCAGTCGGCCTGCTTCAGTAATTCAGCAGGTAGAACCCTTGCCTTCCACAGGGCTAAATGGGGTTCAGTCCCCGGCATTGCATATGGTCTCCCAAGGCCCGCCAGGAGTGATCCCTGAGTGAGGACGTCCTTTGTTGATTTTCGAAGGCTCATATTTGGGCTCAGTTGTTTTGAAGAGACTTGAAGATTGGTCCTCCTCCTACACCCAGTTCCTACTAACTCTGCCCCTGGGGGTTAGGGATGTGCTGGCGCCAGACCAGGCCTCGGGCCAAATCACAAAGGGCAAGTGCCCCAGGAGGGAGCTTGTGCGTTTCTCCGTCCCCCCAGCAGGGGGCACTGGTGCGCTGCCTGCCCCAGTGGACCCAGGGGTTTTGATTTCCTACTGCCATGGGGGGGCGGAGTTCCTGAGGCAAGTCAGGAGCAGGGGGGAGCGGGGAGATGAAGGGAGTTGAGCAGTTTCCAAGGAGACGGCAGAGCCCGGGGCCTTCCTGTCCCTGGCTTCTGCTGGAGTCAGGCTGGGGCATGAGCCACCTCTATGTCCAGTACAGTGCTGGCTGCCATCAGCGCACAGGTCCAGAAGGGGCACAGGCTCCCTTCTCCCTCTGGCCCTAGCATCCCTGTCCAGCATGTGCGAGGCCCCGGTTCAAGCCCCAGCCACACATGGCCCACCCTGACCCCAAGCATGTAGCCCTCCAGGGCTGACAGGCCCTACTCAGTCACTGCCCAAGAGGTGGGACTGTCTCTCCAGAGGACTAGTAAGACAGTATCTGGGCTCCTGTCTCCTAGTGCAGGACTGGTCACCATGGAAACCGCTGCACCCGAGTCCTCCAGATTGGTAGATCCTCCTGATGGGCAGGTCCAAGTCAGCCGAGTCAGTCCCTGGGCTGTCCCTGCTTCTCAGCCATCTCCATTCCCCTTTATCTTGAAACTCCTCACCCATCCGTCTCTCTGCCTTTGTTTGCTTCTCTCTCCGGTGGGTCTTTGGTGGCTCCCAGGCAACCCCCTGAAACTGCTGCTAGAACTGATCACTGCAGACCAGCCCAGGGTGGGGCAGGGAGTCCCCACCTGGTATTCACTGGAATCTGATGCTGCACACAGGGAGGGCTCGGCACAGCTGGGGCTCACAGAGCTCAGCAGAGCTGCTCCCACTCCTCCCCTTGGGACCTGCCTCCTGACCTGAGCTGGGCCAGGCGCGTCTTGACATGTGGAGAAGAAAATGAGAGACCGAATGAAAGAATGTGTGAGCAAATTAGTGAGCGAATGAATGAATGGATGGAAGAAAGAAGGAAGGAGTGAATGAAAGAGGGTGGGGGCAATTGAGTGGGTGAGTAGCTGAATGAATAAAGGGGTGAATAAGTTGAGTGAATGAGAGAAAGAAGTGAGGTAATGGGTGAGTTAGTGAATGAGTAAGAATGAGTGAGAGACTGGGTGAAAGACTGAGTGAGAGACTGAGTGAGGGAGTGAGTGAATGACTGAGAGGCTGAGTGAGACAGTGAGTGAGAGACTGAGTGTGTGAGACTGAGCGAGTGAATGAGTCAGGGAGACTTGAATGAGAGAACCGAGTGAGTGAGTGAGACTGAGAGACTCAGTGTGTGAGAGACTGACTGAGACTGAGTGTGTGAGCGACTGACTGAGAGACTGGGTGAGAGTGTGTGAGACTGGGTGAGAGACTGGGTGAGAGACTCAGAGTGGAGGATGTCTGGGGCCTGGGTGGGGACCATTGTCACTGCTCTGCCCACAGTGTTCTCTGTCCGCAGTCTTTGAAGAGCCCGAGGACCCGAGCAACCGCTCCTTCTTCTCGGAAATCATCTCCTCCGTGTCGGACGTGAAGTTCAGCCACAGCGGCCGCTACATGCTCACCCGGGATTACCTCACGGTCAAGGTCTGGGACTTGAACATGGAGGCAAGGCCCATAGAGACATACCAGGTGCGTCAGGGACTGGGAAGTCCCCGATGACTTTGGTGAGGAGTGGGCGGGGGGGGCCATGTACGCGCGGCATGGGCTCTAATTGCTGCACCGTTTCCGAGCTCCCGGGTGTTGGTTTTCTTCGCTTTCATGAGATGTCTCATGGTGGCAGAGTGGTTGCCCACCTCCCAGAACAATGCCCAAGTTCCAAGCAAGAAATGGAAAGAAACGTGGAAGGTCACGTGCGAAGGGCCTGGGGGTTGTGTCTGTTGAGGATTTACAGAAAAGCACAAATTGTCCCTGAATATTCCCTGGGAGACTTCCAGGGCTCACTGGCCAGAAAAGTGGGAGAAAGTGGTCAAGTGGGAGAAACAAGTGCCTCTCGGGAATGAGGGGAGGGTGGTGTTGAAGGAGCCAGCCCTCAGCAGAGGAGGCACTGGGCCATGGCGTGTTTCCCTCCTCTAAGCCTCTGGCTTCCCTGGAGGATTGGGGGGTAAGTCCCGCCAGCCCCACTTTGGAGGAATCTGGGTTCAGTGGCAAGTTCTAAGGCTGCTCAGCTCAGCTTGGCGCTCCAGAATCCCTTCTTCTCCTCACCCTGCTACCAGAGGGCAGCAGGCGCAGGGGTGTTGGGCAGGTGCATCGCTCAGCAAGTCCTGAGCAAGAGGACATGTCAGGGCAGCCTGGCACTTCATCGAGAACAGCTTAGAATCAGTGGGTGGTGGGGACAGTCCCTACTGACAGGCCAGGTGCTTGGACCCGGGACTCATGGCAGGGATGATCCCTGCTGACGTCCCAGTGCCAGACCCAGGGCTCAGGGAGGGAGGAGGACCCTCGGCCCCACAGAACCAGACACAGAGATGAAACACACGCAGCCTGGCATGTCTGCACCAGGAGGACCCGGGGCTCCGGCTGAGGCTGCAGCATAGCACGTTCCCCCCCAGGCTCCCAGGGCAGCTCCACCTGACCCGGGGGGCTCCTGGGATGCTCTGTAGGTGCGTCACGGGAACCCGCCCCTGGCTGCGGGCGCTCTGCTGGGGCACACCTGGCCGGGGCAGGACAGTGCCTCTGTCCCTGGGTTGGGCTCTCCTGGGCCATTCTCTGAGCTGGCCCGTGCCTCCCTTTCTCCACGGGACACACCATTGTGTCCTGGCCCGTGATGACCCAGCAGAACAGCCCATGTGAGTGGCCTGTCCAGCACTTGAAGGGTGAAGAGAACAAGGGTCAGAGAGGTGACCGCACAGCCAGGGAGGGGCGGGGCCAGGACTCGGTCCCCTTGTCCTGTGAGAGTCCCCACTGCCTGGGCCCCCGTGGTCAGCCGAGTGCCCAGGAGGCACTGGAAGGGCTCACCCATGCCGTGTCTGCGCAGGTCCATGACTACCTTCGGAGCAAGCTCTGCTCCCTGTACGAGAACGACTGCATCTTTGACAAGTTCGAGTGTGCCTGGAACGGCAGCGACAGGTAACAGGCCCGCGGGGCCACCTGCCCACCGGGAGCTGGGCGGGCTGCGGCCTCAGGCATGGGGCCACTCACTCCGGGAGCCAGGATGGAGCCTCACCAGGACTGGGCTGAGACCCGGGTTTGAGGGGACACCATCTCCTGTGGCCCTGGATTCCATTCCAGCAGGACCCTGCATAGGGCAGCAGAGGGGAAATGTGTTCACTCACTCATTCACAGGAGCCAGGTCTGCACTGTGGGCCTCACTCATCTACACCAGAGTCGCTAGGGCTGCCCCCCTCCGCTGCTGCCCATCACCGTGACCATCCACAACGCCCTCTGGTGGGCTTAATGGAAAACTACAGAGTATCCCCCCTTTTTTTGTCTGGGTTTGGGGGTCACACCCAGTGATGCTCAGGGCTTACTCTTGACTCTGCATTCAAGAATCTCTCCTGGTGGGCCTCAGGGGAGCCCAGTGGGATCCCGGAGATCGAACCCAAGTGGGCCGTATGCAAGGCAAGCACCCTGCCCATTACACTATCACTCTGGGCCCTTTGGAATATCCCTAAAGTGTTCTGGGCAAAGCACTTCAGGGGTCTTAGCTCCTAGTCCCCAAGTCTGTATGGCCACAGTAGCTGCCCTGCAAGAGAGGACGCGATGCCCCGAGGGAGGGGCCCCTACATGTCCTCTGGGACTCCCTTTCCTTTCCTGCCAGGGCCCTCCCTGCTCCACCCCTCTCACACCCCAGCGCCACCCCTGCCCTGCCCTTGTCTGCACCCCAGCCCCTCACCCCTGCCCTCACTCTCCCTGCACCCCAGCGTCATCATGACCGGAGCCTACAACAACTTCTTCCGCATGTTTGACCGAAACACCAAGCGAGACGTCACGCTGGAAGCCTCACGGGAGAGCAGCAAGCCGAGGGCCGTGCTCAAGCCGCGGCGCGTGTGCGTGGGCAGCAAGCGGCGGCGCGACGACATCAGCGTGGACAGCCTGGACTTCACCAAGAAGATCCTGCACACGGCCTGGCACCCGGCCGAGAACATCATCGCCATCGCGGCCACCAACAACCTCTACATCTTCCAGGACAAGGTCAACTCGGAGATGCACTAGGTGTGCGAGGGCAGCTCAGAGCGGCCCTGGCGGGGGCAGTGGCCACTGGGCCTGGCCCCCCAGCTCTGGAGAGGCCAGCCGGCCTGTGCTGGTCATGGCCTGCTTCCAAGGAGGGGAGCGGGCTCCCCGGCGCCCCCAGGTGGGCCGGAGGGGGCGCCACCCTGCGGCTGGGTTCTTTCTGCACAGGCTGGGGATGGGACCGCGGGGTCCCTCTTTCCCTCCCGCAGCTGCTTCCAGGGCAGGTGCCCTGCACCTCCACCTCCCGGGCTCCTGGGGGCTGACGGCAAGGCTCGGACAAGCCATATTCGTTTGGTTAGAGGGGAGCACGGACACCCCTTACTGATCTGGTCGCTGTGTTTATTTATTGAACAGAAACATGATCCGTACTGCAGGGGGGAGTCTGCCGGCTCTTCCAAGCACCCGAACGGTCTGACAGTTTGCTGAGAGGCAGGGGTGGGGGCGCGTGGGAGCCCCCTCCCTCGTGTGGGCCTGTTCTTTCTAGAACCCCACCTTTGCTGGGTGCCAGGCAGCTGGGCCTGGCCTCCTTCCAGCTGGTGCCCCTTATGGGAGCTCAGACTGGATCCCTCCAGGAATGGGGAGAACCGGCGGGGGGCCCAGAGAGGCCAAGTGGGTCAGTGCCCAGGCCCACGTGAATAGGTGCAGAAGAGGAAACTGAGGCCCCAGATTGTGCATACCCACGCCAGCCAGGGGCAGGAAACCCCTTGGCCTTGTCCCAAACAGACCTGTCCAGCCCACCACGTTGCTGGCTCTTCAGTGATGCCTCTGCATACCACCGGTGGCTCACACTTGAACATGGTTTCATGGACAGAAAGCTCTGCTGCGCAGGTGTGTTAAAGTGACCTTCTCGGCCTGGAAGGTTCTGGCAAGTCCTCTTCCCCCTGTGACGCAGGGCTGCGACCAGAGTTCCAGGGAGAACCAAATCTCAGATGGAGAACGGAGAGGCCCCGCTCCTGTCCGGTCAGCTGCCGCTGGCGTCCCCCGGCGCTTTTCCAGATGCACTGGAAATTGCATGTTATCACCACGTTAGGATGCTTTTTTCTTTAATCGCCCCGTGGTCTCTGCGGGCTGCCCTGTTCCCATTCCAGTCTTCTGCGGCAGCTCCGCCCAGCCACGCCCACCGGCACAGCCACGCCCACCGGCCACGCCCTCAGTGCAGACCACGCCCACAGGCCACGCCCCCACCTGTCATGCGCCTGTGCAGTCTCCCAGGTGGGTGGACCCTGGACCGTGTGGCCTCTGTATTGTGATGGGCAGTTGGGCAGTGCAGAGGCCCAGGGAAAACAAGCCCCCCTTTTTTTTTAAACGCGATGCAACCTAACCGAACCCAGGAAACAGACCCTCCCCGAACTCCTCAACTGGTAACTGCATACTGTCGTGTGTGGAAAGCGCAGGCGCATGGCACTCACTTCCAGCCCTACAATAGCTCCAGCAGGAAATAGGTTTCTTCCTTCTTTTATCTTTTTCTTTTTTCTTTTTATGGCTTTGTTTTTAAACCTCCGTGAACGAAGAATGTTTCTATCTCACTGTCAGCTCCAGGTGACCTGGACAGTATTATATGTACATAACTATTCTAATTAAATTTAATAATCACAGCATTCCGTCCTTTCTTTCCCCCTTGTAAAGAAGCTTGAGACCCGTGGTGAATTGTATAGAAACCTTGTTGATGTTGAAATCCAGCCCTGGGGGCCTTCAGGCATCACCCAGCTGTGGTGGCACTGTCCGGCTCCTTCTCGCCTGCCCCGTGCGAGGGGAAGGGGCCTCGGCACCGCGGTGACCGCCCTGACTTCTGATGGAAACTTGGAGGACCGTGCCAGAAAGGAACTGCCGTTCTCGAGAGTGCAGGCCGCCTGTGTCCTCCAGTGAAACGCTCGTCCTCAGCTCCCGGGGGACCAGCTCTCTCCAGAGCAATCGTGAGAGCTTGTGGTGGGCAAAGAAAGGCGGTTGGGGGCAGGGAGGGTGCACGGCCGTGGACGTGGCTCCCCAACCGCCTCACTGCCCACCCTTGAGTGTCCTGGAGTGTGTAGTGGTGGGCAGTGGCCCCCCGTGGGCTGGTGGGTGTGTGGTGGTAGTGTAGAGGACCCGTGTCCCAGACTGTGAGTGACCATTGGTGCATCCCCTCCCCTCGGGTGTCTCACAGACAATCCAGCTGTTGAATACAATTATAAATATGTTAATACCAGCTTTTTCCAATAAAATAACAAATGTCACATTGCAAATGAAGCTGCATCCATGCTGTGGGTTTGGGGGAGGGTTGGCCCCAGGGGAGGTAGGCCCTGCAGGGAGGGGGCCTGCCCCCCCCCCCCCCAGGGCTTTGCGGCCTGCTGCTCCTCATCAGAAAGTGTGGATGGTGCTGACTGCCCAGCTGGCTGCCCTGGAGTAAGCTGGCCCCTGACCGGGCAGCCGAAAGCAGAGTGTCACCACGCCTGTGTCCAGGGCTCCAACGGTCACCCTGGGGCTGAGCACTCAAAGGACCCCAAGTCCAGAGTAGAGTGTGCCTGAGGAGGCAAGGAGCCAGGCTGACGAGGTGGGCAGCTCCATTCATTCATCCACTCGCTCCTTTGATCCGGGTCGCTGTGCTGGCAGGGGCTGGGCACACCGCCGAGCCAGGACTGAGCCCAGACGCTTACACCTGTAGCACTGATGTGTCTCTCGGGTCCCCTCCAGGTGAGGGTAGTGGCAGGTGTGTGTGTGTCTGTGTGTGTGTATGCGTGTGTGTGTGTGTGTGTGTGTGTGTGTGTGTAAGAGCCTTAACCCACAGCATGACTGGGAGGGCCTCACATTCCAGCCCAGTACCCCAGGAGGGACCCCAGACTCCAGGCTAAGAGCAGCCCCAGCTCACCACTGACTGTGGTTCCCAAATCAGAAAGAAACCAAGTGCATCAGGTGAGTGTGGGGTGGGTGTCCAGATAGACTCGGGGGCCCTCCTCATCTCCACATCTGCCATAAAGGGCGTAATGGAGAGACACGGTCACCCGATAGACTGGTTCCTTTCTAAAAGCAGTGTCCATGTGGGTCACCCCTGTACAGCTCACCTCGTCCTGCCCACATGCAGTGGGGCTATCTGAGGACCCCTCGGCCCCTGGGGACCTCACAGCAGCTGGGACATGCAGCTCCTCAGCCAAGGCGGACGCACTGCCTCTGGAGCCTTGCCCGCCTTTCCCTGAACAAATGATAACCAGCCTGAGCCTCTACCCTCTTTCACTGCTGCCTCACAGCCTGAGGGTGTGCAAGAGGGTGTCATGGCCAAAGATGTAGGCAGGGCCAGGTGGCTTAGGGGGGTGCTCGGCATGTGTCTGGGTCAGGGTTGGATCCTGGGCTCCACAGGAAAGGGAAAAGAAAATGTGGGCAGGCAGTGCTCACACAGACCCCATTCCCGCGAACCCCATTCCCACAAACCCCCTTCCCTCAGACCCCACTCCCTCAAACCCAATTCCCTTGGACCTCATTCCCTCAAATCCCCGTTCCTGCAAACTCCATTCCCCCAGACCCCTGTTCCCGCGGACCTCACTCACTCAGACCCTGTCCTGCAGACCCCTTTCCCAAGACCCCTTTTACCTTTTCCTGCTTCCCAAAGCCCCGCCTTTCTCCACAACACCTGGGTATCACTAATGCGAGGCGGGCTGGGGAAGGGACCCGCACGGGCAGCTGACCCAGTGCTTCCTGCACCTGGCCTGAGGTTGTTCCATTGTGGGGGCTGCAGGGCAGGAAGGGGAGCCAGGGCTCACAGCGGGCCACCTCATCTGGTGGCAGGTCCATCTCCCCCAGCAAAGGCCACCCTGTCCTTGCTCCCGGCACGCAACGCCTGGACACTGGCTGGAAAACGGGCCCTCAGCCTGGGCTCTGGACCTTGCGTGGGTGTGAGTGGGGGTTCAGGAGAGGAGACCCAGGGCGACAGATGGCGGGCGCTTTGGAAAGGGGCAACTGCAGACTCGGGCCCTTGAGGCTTGGGGGTGGGGGAAGCGTGTGCCAGGCAGGGCCAGTGCTGACTACCAGGAGGCTGAGCCCATTCACCTCCATGGGCTGGGGCCAAACCCTCCCCGCCTGGGGTCCCTCAGCCCCCTCGGCACACGGCAAGGTGCACACCTCACGCAGGTGGGCCCAGAGAACACGGCCTGCCAGGGGCCAGCTGGGTCTAGGTGCCGCGACCACCAGGACGGGAACTTGGGGTGTCCTTGAGGTGGCCAGTCTCGCCTGACCTAGGTAACCTAGGAACGGGGCCAGGGGCCAGCGTGCCCGCCTGCCCGTGCCCACCCCCATCACACATTCCAGGTAAGGGGGCTCAGCTCCGCGGCACGCCTAGCCGGGCCCCAGCACTCATGGTGTCTACACTCTGCAGAGGCCCAGGCTGGACCTGCATTGCATTTGGCCCCTTGCTGGGCTGCAGGCTTTCTGCTCCCCATGAAAAAAGAATGTGATGGGGGTGTGGGGAGGAGGGGAGAAGGGAGAGGGGGAGGAGAGAGAGAAGGAGGGAGGAAAAGGGAGGGAGGGGAGAGAAGAAAAGGGAGGAGGGGGGAGGGAGAGAGAGCAGGGACTCCTGAGTTCATCAAGGTTTTTATTTATTCTGCCGTGGGGGACCCAGACCCACTGCTGGCCCCCAGGTACTGACAGGAGCCTTCAGGGCCCCGGAAGGGACTCAGTTCTCTGTGTCCTGCAGGCTGGGCAGCTCCAGGACAGACGCACTCACCAGACTGGCCTCTGTGCTCCGTGGGAGCAGGGACACTCAGGCGGGCAATAGATAGGAAGGGGGGGACGAGGTGCGGGCGGGGGCTTCCGTCAAGTGTTGTGGGGGCAGCGGGCGGCCAGTGTCGCTTCACTCGGAGGGGTGGGCACTCTGGGGACATGCGTTCAGGAGCGCCGGGTCTCGGGGTGGGAGGGGACCACCCTGGGCCTGCACACACATGCATGCACGCGCACGCAGACACTTGGATCGCACATACTCGGGTCACACGGTCGGCATCACACACGCGCTCGGGGCCACGCGCTGGGGGCCACACGCGCTCGGGGTCACACGCGCTCGGGGCCACACGCGCTCAGGGCCACAGGCGCTCGGGGCCACAGGCGCTCGGGGCCACACGCGCTCGGGGCCACACGCGCTCGGGGCCACACGCGTGCAGCCACACCCCCTCGGGCGCGGGCTCAGGCGGCCGACAGGAAGGGGAAGAAGAAGAAGTCGAAGGCGAACCTGAGGGCGCCGCGCACGACGCCGCGCCAGTCGCGCTCCAGCTTCACGTGCCGGCGGGCGGGTGCCAGCTGGGCCATGCAGTTGAGGCAGCGCAGCGCGCGCAGCTCGAACACGGGCCACTTGCTGCCCAGCCGGCCCTCGAGCACGGTGCTGAACTCCAGCAGGCTGCCGTGGCGCAGGTGCAGCAGCGCCTCCCGGAACTCGGCCCCCGCGCGCAGCACGATGTCCTTGGTCACGTCGTCCTCCTCGGCGCCGCGGCCGTCCGCCCCGCCGCCCAGCGGCATGCCCACCGTCAGCTCGAACTTGTAGCGGTCGAAGCGCTTGATGTGGCAGGGGTGCTTGGCCAGCTGGCGCAGGCGGCACAGCTCGGCCGGCACGGTGGCGGCGGGCCCGGGCGCGCAGTCTGGGTAGGGCTCGCCGTAGAGGCAGCGCAGCCAGTCGCCCAGCGCGTGCGGCAGCATGTTGACGGCCGCCTCGGCGCTGTTCTCGATCTCCGTCACCCGCACGTACTTGAAGCGGCCCGTCCAGGTGACGCGGTGGCCCTCCAGGTGGCTGCAGAGGATCTGCGTGCGGGCCATGTTGGTCTCCTTCCAGGCGCGCGGGCCGCACAGGGCGCTGTACTGCGGCCAGGTCAGCGTGGAGTTGTACACCTTCATGCCCTCCGAGCGGTACACGTAGAACCAGCAGAAGAGCACGATGGCCGACAGCCACACCAGGATCAGCTTGACCACGGAGCTGCGCGACAGGGACCGCAGCACGCCCAGCACAGACACGTGGGCCCGGGCCCACCCGCGGCACAGCAGGGGCAGGCCACAGGCCGCCAGCGTGACCGCGATCTTGGTCAGCTCCAGGGAGAGGAACCAGCGGGCCAGCTGCACCACGCCCATCAGCGCCAGGCCGGCCACCAGCACGGGCAGGGCGAAGAGGAAGAGCACGTAGCCGATGGAGGCGCGGACCAGGCCGAGGGCGGTGGCCTGCAGCAGCAGGACCACGGCCAGCTCGCACCACATGAAGCACACCAGGTAGGGCACCAGGTAGCAGTAGGTGCCCTTGAAGCCGCGCAGTTGGGCCATGCGGAAGAAGAGGTAGAGCAGGTAGGCGTAGAGCGCGCAGGGCAGGCTGGCGTGCAGCACCACCGCCTCGCCCAGCGGCAGCGTGAAGAAACTCTGGCCCAGCGGCTTGAGCCACGGCCACTCCCCGGGCAGGCTGGGAAGCAGCGACAGCAGGCCGGCGGCCACCTCGGAGAGCAGCGCCCGGCGCGTGTAGGGCTCGGCGGAGGCGCTGAGGCTCACGTAGCTGGCGACGGTGAAGAAGACGGAGAGGGCGGCCAGCTCGGAGCAGGGGATCCAGTCCTTGCTGGCCACGGGGAAGGAGAAGATGACGAAGAAGACGGAGAGCAGGAAGTGCAGGTGGGGCTCCAGGTGGTTCCAGCTGAAGTTGCCCTCGGCCTGCTCCACGTCCAGCCGCGGCTCGAAGCGCAACAGCAGCCCCGTGAGCGTGCGAAAGCTCTCCCAGGCCTTGCTGTCCTGGAAGACCTTGAGCGTGCAGATGACCATGGACACGAAGGACAGGTAGAAGACCACCAGGGGCACGGCGAAGGCGAAGAAGTCGATGGTCAGGTTGCTGATGATGAAGAAGAAGACGAGGGCGTTGATGTGGTGCGTGGGCACGATGGTGGACAGCCAGTGCATGCCAGCCCGCGAGGCCACGTCGATCAGGTACTCCTTGACCTCCATGATGGCGTGCAGCGGGTACTTCACCACCTGGGGGTGGCACCAGGGAGCCTCAGCCCAGCCCAGCGGCTCTCAGCCCCGGCGCCCTCTGCTGCCCTCCCGCTCTGCCCTGCCGACTCCCCCCTCCCCTGAGGCCTTGGGTGCAGGTGTGGTTTCCGGCGAGACCCCAGGATCTGGGCCCCCTCGATGGCACTGTGGGCTGGCGGGTGACGGTTTGGACTCTGCTGGTGCCCACCCACCCACCAAGGGTGCGAGGACCCTCTCAGGGCCCTCGGGAGTCGGGGCAGCTGGAGGGGAGTGAGCGGGGGTCCAGGACAGGCTCACAGGCGCCTCTGACCCACCACAGCAGGCGCTGCGGGCAGCACGAGGCCCCCGCGGCCACTCCCAGCCCCCACCTTGAGGTGCAGCGGCAGCTCCTCGGGACCCTTCCCTGCCAGCTCGTCGTCCTCGTCCTCGTCCTGCAGGCAGAGATCGGCAGGGAGGATGCCGCGGGCGTACTTCTTGGTGAGCTCCACGAAGTCGTCCAGCGCCATGTGGCTCTTGGCTGCACACAGAAGGGCACGTGGGCGCCCGGACCACATGCCAGGGACCCTCGCCGCCCACTGTGCCCCCTGAGCGTGGCCCATGTGGCTCGCTGCCCCCCAGCCGGGCACGCCCACCCCCACCCACAGGACGCCGGTGAGCCCCTGCTGGGCCCAGGGCTGAGGGTCCCCAGCCGTGACGAGAGCAGAGTCGCCAGCCAGCAGGCAAGAGGGGGGCAGGGGCCATGGGGACAGGGACCCTCCCCCACAGGCCTGGGGATGGGGACCCCCTCCACAGGGCCGGCCTGAGTCCGGTGATACTCACACTCACTGCTCACCAGTCGCTCCAGCACCCGCCTCTGCTTCTGCAGGGACTTGGGGACGGGGCCTGGCTGCTGCCCTCCATCTGCGGGGACAGAGTGGGCCAGGTGTCTGTCCCTTCACTCCCCCGAGCCCATGCTGAACACAGCTCCTGGGTACCCAGAGCTGGGCCACCTGCCTGGGCAGCCGGATGGCAGCGAGCCCCCGGAGATGCACACGGGCTCTGGGCCGGCAGGGGGACCCCGGGGCACATCCGCCCCTGCTCGCTGATGCTGGGTGTCCCCCCTGCTGGCCGACCCCGGGGCGTGTCCCCCCCCTGCCCCCCGCCGGTTGGCCCCGGGCTGTCCTACCCTGCTCATTGACCTGGCCCACGTTCTCCAGCAGCTCCGACACGGCCACCTCCTTCTTCTTCTTGGGGTTCAGCTTCCAGTACATGACCAGGGCGGCCTTGCGCACGGCACGCTCCAGGTCGGTCTCCGAGGACAGCTGCCTCACCTCGGCCTCGTTCTCGGAGGTGATGCCTGCGGGACAGGCTGTCAGCGGACCCTGCCCACCCACCCTCCTCCTCCCAGCCCCTGCGGAGGCCACTGGTCCGGAGCCCCCAAGCGCATGGGCAGGACCCCAGGGGGCAGGGGTGGGGCAGGACGGGTCTGGCCTCCCCCGCACGCAGCCCACACGGCATATCTGCACCTCGGCCTTCCCAGAGCCGAGAGCGTGAGCAGAGGGGGCTGAGGCTGGGCCACCCCTGCGCCCGCTGGGGCTCTGACAACAGGCTGCTATGGGGCGGGGGGAGGGCACAGAGTGAGCTGCACGGGGGCAGCGCCATAACCAGGGGCCCCGCGGAAGCAGTTCTCCGGGACAAACCGGCTCAGGCCACGGAGAGACCCCACACGGGCCAGAGACAGGCTGGGGAAGCGGGGGACGCTGGACGCCAAGGGGTCCCGCCGCACAGCAGCCTCACCAAGCCTGCTCCCAGAACAGCCAGGGTGCTGAGAGAGTCTCCAGCACGGCCCACCCCAACCCCAGGACTCCCTGGCCCCGTGTCCAGAGTGTCCAGGCTGGTCCCACAGGCCTCCCGGCCCCTGTCCCGTTCTGCCCGCAACACCCAGAGAGCCCTGAACAGAGGCTGCCCCCACCGGTCCTCAGCCCCCACTTCTGCCTGCGCCCCGTCCCGTCCCAAGCCCTCACTCTCCTGTCCCAGCAGTGCCCGTCGCCCCCCCCCTCACCTCTCCTGTCAGCCAGGCAGCGGCGCAGCAGCTTGACGGCCTCGCGCCGGCCCTGCTTGGCGGCCCGCAGCAGCCAGTCCACCGCCGAGCAACTGTTGAGCTCCTCGTCCTCCTCGGCCGCCAGCTGCAGGTAGCGCTTCCCCACCTGCGGGCCCCACCCCCATTCACTGGAGCTTCCAGAACCTTCTCCAACCCCGCAGCCCCGGACGCAGTGGGCGCGAGGGGTGGGGGGTCAGGCAGGGGCGGGGGCGGGGAGGAGAGGGCGCGGGGCCTGCTGCTACCCGGGGGGTCCTCACCTCTGTCTGGGCCTTGGGGTCCCCGGCCTTGGCCTTCTCCAGGACTTCCTCAAACGGAGGCTCTGCATCTCCCTGGGACCCTTCCCCTGGGAAGCAAACGGAGACCAGAAGCTGCTTCCGGCTCAGTTCCAGGGGTGGGGGCAGAGTGAGCCCAGAGAAGCATCTAGAAAGCTCCCACATACAGCGCACCTGAGGGCTGCACTCGAGAAAGATGGGGGCTCAGTCTGAAAGCCCGGGACCCCCCATGCAGAGTGGGGCATGCACCCACACACATGGCAGAGCGCCCTGCCCCCACACCCCGGTTCACTGGGCAGCGTCTGGCCACAGAGCTCAGGATCCAGCTGCTCCCCTCTGGAGCCACCCAAGCCCGACGGTGCCCATCAGTTAGGCCAGAGAACCCTCTGCGCCTCCTTGCTGGCCCTTCAGGACCGTCTGTGGGGGACAGGACCCGCCCTGTGCAGACTCGCCCTCCAGAGCAGGGGGCAGGCACGGGAGGCTCAACCCCGGGGGCGCTGCCTGATCTGAGTTCCCTGGACAGCGGGAGAGTCCCCGGAGCAGCCTCCCGCCCAGCCTCTGCCTGCCTCCCCATTCTTCCTCCCCACTCTCTCCTTCTCTCCCTCCACCCCTCCGTCCATCCCTCCCGCTGTCCCTGTCAATCCCCAGCCCCTTCCTCAGGGCTGTGGGTCTCTCCACACACCATCCAAGCGGATGATCAATGCCCCAGTTCCTCAGATGAGGGCATGTCAGTGAGTTGCCCCTACTTAGAGGGTCCCCCAAAGCCCACCCGTACACCCACACCCCCGAACGCCCTCACACCCCCCTACCTACACACCTGTACACCCACTCCTGCACACCAGCCGACCTGACATCCTTACACGCACACACATGCCTGCACAAATAGTCGCATGTTCGCATGCCAACACACGCAGCTGCACCCCCCACGCCCACACACAGCTGCACCCCGCAGACACACACAGCAGCACCCCCACACACAGCCGCACCCCTCACCCCCGCACATTGTATACATGGAATGGGGGTGGCCCTCCCCATGCCAGCAGGAGCCCCCGGGAAGGACGGACCCAGCGTTTTCACCATCAGGGCTCTGCGTCTCCCTGGCCATGCCCAGCACATGGGCGGGCCCTGGGACGAGGCTGCCCTCCTGTGGGTGGGCAGAGCTGGCCAGAGCCCTGGGGCCAGGGCGGGAGGGGCCTCTGGGTGAGACTCAGACCCCTCCTGGGTGCCAGGACCTGGCAGCCAACGACCCTGCCACCCCCGGTGGCAACACTGTATGCACATCTGGGGACAGGCACCCCTCCCCCCTCGGGACCACGGTACTCTGCACCCCTCTCCTGTGTCTAGACAACAGTCTCCTGCTCCCCTTCCTGTCCTGTTTGAGTGCGTACTAAGCATGCGTGTGAGTGTGAGTATGTGAGCTGAGTGTGTGTGCCAAGTGTGTACAGTGTGTGTTGTGTACCAACTGTGTGAGCAGTGAGTGTGTGCCCAGTGTGTGGGCCAAGTGTATACACTGAGTGTGTGTGCTGAGTGTGTGTTGTGTACCAACTGTGTGAGCTGAGTGTGCCGGTAGAGCATGTGGGCCAGATGCGTGTGCACCTTGCAAGCTGGGCCCCCCACCCCCGCCCGGACTCCCCAGGCCCAGCGGGGCAAGCCCCCTCCCGAGATCAGACCCCAGGGGCAAAGGCAGAGGGGGCCCGGGCGGCAAGGCCGGCTCTCACCTGCTCCTCCCGCCCGGCACTGGCTCCTGGAGCGGGGCCCCCTGGGCACAGCTGCGGCAGGTGGGTCTCCCGTGCCGGGTCTAGGTCCGGGCTGGGGTGCGGGGGCGGGCGGTGCCCCCATCCTCTCATCTTCCATGGAGGTCGTGGCGTTGAGTCGGGCACGGGCTTGGGGCGGCAGCGGGGGCAGGGGCGGCTGGAGGGCCGAGGGGCTGGGGGTGCGGGCACTGGAGTCCATCCTACGGGCAACACAGCAGGGGAGTGGCCAGCCCCGCATGGAGGATGCCAACGAGCCCCGATTCCTGGCAAAGGGCCTCCCAGTGGCCCCGACGCCAGGCGTATCATGGCAAACACCCTGAGGGTCACCAGGCCCCCCAGAGGCGGGAAGGCCCCACAGGGCTTCGGGGCACAAAGCCCCCCAAAGCATCCATACTGTGGGCGTCGGGGGACCCTCTCCGATTCATCAGCCACCCGAGCTGGAGGCCCCCCCATCCCGGGGTGAAGGTGAGGGTCCCGAGCTGCACGCAGGGAGACGTGGGGGACAGTCACTCCTGCTATGCCCCCGTGCTCCTGGCTGGGCCAAGGCGCGCCCCAAGCTCCGAGCAGGAGCCCTGCCGGGTGGCCGCCCACAAAAAGGCCCTGATTTCCATCTGGACATTCCTCTCGTTCCCTTCCTGGCCAGCACTGCCCCGGGTGCAGACCAAGGCCGGCCGGCGGGGGGAGGCGCTTCCGCACAGGTCCCCTCTCACGTGCCTGAGCCCCGCTGGGCACTCGGGCAGGGCCCACACCAGATGGACAGGGACCCTTCCCTCCCCGTCTCTCACAGGAAGGGGGGACAGCAGAGTCAGGCGTGCAGACCTCTGCGCTGGGTCCCGAAGGAGACCCCCACGCCCTCACCCCCAGCCGCGCTGCCCCCTTCCCTGCAGGGCAGGTCAAGGGCTCATCCTCTCTCTCCCTCCCTCTCTCCCTCCCTCTCTTTCTCTCTCTCTCTCTCTCTCCACCCCCCTCGGCCCCTTGTGCCCTGTGTTCCCTCTGTGAGGCCTCACTGGGCAGCAGACAGTCCTGTTCCCCGATGTCACCCCTGGACGTACCCTCCAGGGTGACCATGCCCACCCTCTACAGCAGCTACTCGGCTCTGTCTTGCCATGCCCTCCTGGGTAGGCGCTCTGGAGCCCACTGCAAACTTCTCCTGGACCAGCTAGCACTGCCCACACTCGGGTGACGGAGATGCACCACGGCCTCCGGGCTGGCCATTGTGCTGACCCCCGGGGGAGCCCTGGATCTGGCCCTCTCTCCTCTGGCCACTGTGCTGACCCCCAGCCCTCTCTCCTTTGACTCGTCCCTCTTGGGACACAGGGCCCAGGGGACAGGGCTGCTGAGTCTCCTTCACTGGACGGAGCGCGGAGCACAGGGCAGCTGGCTGCGGACCCTGCCTGTGATTGTGTGCAAAAGGACCGCTCGGCAGACTGCAGCCCCCAGGACACCCCACCCTTCCCGGGAGCCACTAGCCTGAGCGCCCGCATTCTTTCCGGGTGAGCCTCGGGCATATTTTTATCCCGAGCAAACACAGAGGAGGGCGGCCAGCGGAGGGGCTGCCCGGGACAGGCTTGGAAGTGAGCCCCACCCACGGGGACCAGGAGCCCTTCTCCGAGGGAGAGCAGGGCAGGAGGTTTGCTTCACCTCGGTCTGGGAAGCCGGTGCGGGCTTTGATACTAAAATAAAACGCTCCTCTAACACCCACCTGCGGCTCCGCTTCAAGGGGGGGGGGGGGCGAGTCTGCCCAGACTAGGGGTGCGGCAGGGCTGGATCGGAGTCTCCCACTGCACCCTCGGGAGTTCGGGGTCACGTGGGTCCAGGTGGGCACTGACCACTGCAGCCGGGGCCACTACAAGTGCCAAGGTGCTGGTGCCCGCCAAGGAACTGAGCCCCATCACCCCGGGCCCCGCGGGACCCAGCCCCATCACCCCGGGCCCCGCGGAACCCAGCCCCATCACCCCGGGCCCCGCGGGTCCGAGCCCCATCACCCCGGGCCCCGCGGGACCGAGCCCCATCACCCCGGGCCCCGCGGGACCGAGCCCCATCACCCCGGGCCCCGCGGGACCGAGTCCCATCACCCCGGGCCCCGCGGGCCCGCGCAGGGTCGCAGTGGGCCTCGCGGAGCGGCCGGGCGCGAACTTCGGGGAGCTGCGGGGCTGCGGGCCCGGCCGTCCGTTCGGAACCGGGGAACCTGGGTCCCGAGCCGGCCCCAAGTACTCACAAGCCGGCGGGCAGCCACGCGCGGCGGGAGAGCGGCCGCACTGAGCGAGCCGGCCCGAGCGGGCCGGGGGCGGGGCGGGCGGGGGCCGGACCGCCGGCCGCGCTCCACTCGCCACGCGGCTCAGGGGACGCGCCGCCGGGTCGCCGCGCTGAATGGTCGCGGCGCCTGCCAGTCATAGAGCACTTCCGCCAATCACGGCGCGCCTCGCCTGACTGCGGAGGCACCGGGGGCGGGAGCGACAAGCCCGCAGCGAAAGTTTCCGAGCGGTCTCGGCCCGGTCCGCGGGGTCCGGGGCTGGCTCCGCCCTGCCCCGCCCCGGCCCCGCCCCGCCCGGCCACGCCCTGTCTGGCCACGCCCCCGGCCGGCCCCAGGGTATCAGGCGTCTGCACCTGGCCCCCTGACCCGTCTTGGGCCCTCGGACCCACCTGGGCCGCCTTTCACCCAGTGCCCTGGCCCCAGAGGCGGCATCCCCAGATACCATCTCTGCTCTTGCAATAGTAACCGTCAGGTCGAGCGAGTTCTGTTGCCCGGGCGCTCACGGGGAAACTTTCCATTTCGCAGCTTGAGCTTCGGTTCACAAACAAGGAAACCAAGGCTTGGGACCGCTGGGCAACCGCCTCTGTGGGATGGGAGGCCCGGGACAGAGAGAGAGAGATGAGGCAGAGAGACAGACAGGCTGGGAGGGAGGGAGAGCGAGAGAGGGAGAGTAAAATTGAATCTCAGACATAGTACATTGCAAAATCACTCGGACCCTGTACCATCACAAGCCCGGAAAGTTTCTACCACAGAAAGAATAAAAATACTACTCCAATACTGTGGGTGGGGGGGAGGTGGTACTTAGTGAAGAGCTTCTGGGGTAGCGAGATGGCTCAGAGGACTGGAGTGAGGGCTATGCAGATGGGAACCCAGCTTGGATCCTGGGAAATGCTCTGTCCTGCTCTTGCCAGAATGACCTCTGAGCACTATGGCAGTAACCCCCAGTACTTATGGATGTGAAGGAAAAAGATGAATGGGGTCCGAAGAGGTTCAGCCGAGGTGCATTGTGGGACTGCCCTGCCGGGCGAGGTTCGGGGTGGGGGCAGAAGTGTGGATCAGGAAAGACCCTTTCTTGTCTGAAGCTGTGTTTTGCCAAAACGATTTCTTAAGGTTGTTTCCAATTCATCCCTGGGGACACACCGAGGAGACCTTCATTTTTTTTAAACCCTTTCCCAATGTGGTAAATAAGAAATCAATCACTTTGCAGCTGCCACTTGCGATTCCAGAAATTTGCAAATCTGCCATTTGCAAATCCTGCCATCTGTGGCTAAAAGGGTGGGCATTTTGTGCTCTTTCATGTCGGGGCTAGCCACGGTCTCCCTTCTCTGCTGGGGTCTGAGAGACTCTCCCCTTCCCACACTCCTGTCTCACTGCACCCCCACACCTGCTGCCATACCAAGCCTCACAGCCAAACTCCTGCAGGACTTGCCCTTCCATCCTCCGTTGCACAGGGAAGATAGCAGTGTGTCATCCACCCTCTGGGGCTGGGTCACCACCCCACGAGACCACCTTGGTGGGTCCTCAGGGCCAGCATACTCCCCAAACTCACAAAAGTACTCAGTAAGCTGAGGACGAAGGACAGGGGAAGAAGAATCCCAGGGAGCTTAGGGAGGAGAGAACGTGGGCCTCCAGGAAGAGAAGATGAGGCAGCTCAGGGAGCCTCTGTCCGAGGGCGCTCCAGGGAACCAAAGAACTCCAACAGCTCCCAGCCGATTCAGATTGCAGTGCCTCAGACAGAGGAAGCAAACCCACAAGACCACAAGACGTTCATCAGGAAGAGAGAGGCTGTGGGCAGGAGGTTCAAGAGTCTGGAAGGAAAAGAAGGGCAGCCAAGCTGAATAAATGAATGCTAGGGCACACATGGCGTTGAAGGAATGCAGAGAATAAAGGGGAAATTCTTCAGAGCTCCTCAAAGAGCCGGCCAGGGCTGGGGAAATAGTATAGTAGGCAAGGCACTGGCCGTGCACATGCCTGGTTTGATCTCAGGCACCCTGCAAGCCATCAGGAGTGACCCCTGAGCACAGAGCCAGGAGTAAGCCATTGGGTGTGGCCCTCAAAACAAAAGAGCTGGCCCTGGGAAGGAGAATGGAGTGAAGGAGTCTCAGGACCCTGGAAGCCGCAGGTCTGGGGTGCTGGTTGGAAGCTGTCCCTCGCCAAGGATGGGTCTCATCTGCCAGTCTGCCGAAAAAGATGCTATCCCACACTGCAAGGTGCAGAGAGGGGCCCGCATGTTACTGGAAAGCCAGAGAAGACCCCTCGCACAGAGATGTCAATCTCAGGAGTATGGGAACGGAGTCAACACAGAGAACAGGAAACAGTGGTGAGCCCTGACTTGCAAAATCGAGTTTCCTCTAGTTTCCATGGGATTTTGAAGGATGTCTGCTAAGTCAGGATCCTTAAAACATCGGGCATGTTTGGGTGAGGCCGAACCACCTTGCATACCCAAGAGTGTAGGCAGCAGGAGATGGCGTGAGTGGAGGATGCGGAATATTCTAGACTCATATCTAGTATGGGAGAGGTTCGGGCACTGGACTGGCTTTGGAGCCCGTGGGGAGTGTGTAAGAAAGGGAAATCGGTCATCTGATGTGTGTGTGGGAGCGGGGGCGGGGGGCATCACTCATCTTAATGTACTAGAAGGGAAATCGCAGCTTTACTCTGACTACAGGGATTGCAAGTGAAGCAAAGGGAATGGGAGAAACAGTTTCTGGAAAGTCGGTGCTGGCCTGGGTCGGCGGAGTGGGCAGATGAGGAGGGGCAAAAAGCAGAGATAACAACGCGCAGCTTCAAAGAAGTGACCAGGAAACAAGCCAAGCTGCTCATCTTGGACAAGAAGTGTGGATGGGAGGGGCAGCAGGGGAAGCGCAGGGGAAGAAGATGCTTTCCCTGACCCGGCTGGCCCTTGGTTTGATTCCCGGCGCTGCCAAGAACACAGAGCCAGGAGCGAGCCCCAAGCACTGCCAGGAATGGCCCCAAACACATTGGGCAAAAAGGAAACATGGGTGGGCTCAGCTTCTTATCTACGTCCTCTAAGGTTGGCATGAAAAGGGGACTCCCCAGCTCAGAGCTATTGGCAAGAAATACACCCAAAATACAGATGCATACTGGACAAGGTCCAAAACTTGAGATAACAAAAATAAAAATAATAATTTCCATATCAAGAATGGGAATTGACATCGCACGATGAATGAGACCCTGGCGGGGGGGGCGGGGGCTCTCCGGTAATGGTGTGGTATGGAATGATGTATAAGTAACAGGACTGCAAAGCCCATCACCTCAATAAAAGAGAAAAATAATTCCGGGCAGAAACATTTCCCAGGGAAAGAGGGAGGCTGGGGTTCAACAAGGCATAACCCACCAAGACCTCATGCCCGGGACTTGGAGCTGCCGGGCCGGGCCGGTCCGATACGGCAGTGCAGGGAGACATGTTGAAGATGAGTCAGCACTGAACACTGTGGACTTTGAGCAAAGCAGCTGAGGTTTTGGCTGGGGGTGGCCACCGTGAAGTTGTGCAAGGCCTGAGGAGAAGCAGTCCGAATGAGAGGAAGTGATGCTGGGGGCCTGTGTGACCCCAGCAAGCGCAGGTCAAGGCTGGCCAGGGCTGGGCCCAGGAATGAGAGTTTTATGGGGTTCTGGGGAGCAAGAAGGCCGGTGGAGGTAAAGAAGCGGAAGCCTGAGATTCCTCACTCAGCCTTTCACACGCTGACCCTTGACCCTGCCGCCTAGGCACGGGGCCCAGCGCTGCCCCTGCCCCCAGACCTCCAGGGTTGGGATCTGTACTTTGAAGGGACACTTCCCTTGTGGGGCTGGCGCGCGCGCGCGCACACACACACACACACACACACACCAGGACTCCTCGCTGCGTCTGTGCTGTGCAGGCCAGGGAAGCAAGAGAGCGCAGTTCCTGAGGGTGTCCTAGAGAGTTGGGGGGCCATGCCCATACTCCCCTGGCGAGCAGGACCCCTTCCCACTCTACCTCGGAGCACCTGCTGGAGGAGGCCCTGTCTGTGCCACAGTCAAGGAGGAAAGGTCTCTGCTGCCGCATCTATTCTTTCGTTTTGTTTGACGGTGTCAGGGCTGACTCCTGGCTCTGTGCTCAGGGGTCACTCCGGAGGGACTCGGGGGACCACATGGGATACCGGGGATCAAACCCAGGCCAGACACACGTAAGGGAAGTACCCTCCCGCTGTGCTTCTCTGGGCCACAGGGAGGAGGCCGTGCCTGAGAGCAGGGTGGCTGCACAGCCCTGCAGAGGATTGATGCTCTCCTCTCTTTCCTCACTCTGGCAGCACTGGGGGCCAAACCCAGGGCCTCATACTGCCAGGTAGGTGCTCTCCTGCTCGGCTAGCACCTGGCACTGCAATGCCACATTTGAACGGCTCCCCCAGTACCTTGACCAACCCAGTGCCCTTCCTGTCTCCAAGGAGATGGGGACCCCCAGATCACAAGCCATCACCCAGGGGGCTCCACGCCTTGCTCGACCCCCAGGCCCTGAGCTGGGCCAGCCACTCCCCTCAGCCTGAGCTCGTGTCCAAGCTGTCTCTGGAGACAGCTGAGTGGGTAGAGGTTGGGGTGCGCACCCCCAGCACCCACACACTGCACCGAGGCGGGAGTTAGTCATCCCGAGGGCAGAGACGACCCACAGGGCGAGTCACCGGCATGCAGGAAGCTTCCTGTGGGAAGGAGCCGAGGAGGGGGTGCAGGGGGGAGCACAGGGAAGCAGGCGGAGCACCCAGAGTGCCCACCAGCCGTCACTGCAGGCGCTCAGACCCACAAAGACGAGGACTAAGCCTGAGACCCGCAGGGCCACAGGCTCCAGGCCCTGCTTCCTCCCCACTCAGCGGGATGCAAGCCCCTGTGAGCCCACCCTGCCCCCGCCAGGCAGGACAGCTGCTCCAGCCCTGCAGGGCTGCTCTGGCTCAGCGGCCCAGAGGCTGCACCAGTCTGGAGCCAGCACCCCTCCAAACCTCAAAGAGGGTGGGGCAGGCGTGCCCTCTGAGGAAGCCCTGGAGGGGCTAGTGGCTGGTTCTCTTG